GCCGAGACCACCCTCGCCGTCCCCGCAGCCGCGGCCGAGACCCCAGCGGTTGCCTGGGACAGCCTGAGCGCCGCCGCCTCCTCCGAGCAGCCCTCCGAGCAGCCCCCAGCTCAGCCCTGCGCCCCGGGCTGGCGCGGTCGTCTGTTGGGCTGGCGGAGCGCGCTGCCCCGCGACCTGCGGCGAGAGGTGGCCGAGATCCTGGCGCTCGCGGGCCCGGTGGTGAGTGCTGCCCCACGCCGTCCTGCGCGCTCGCCCTGGGAGGGAGGCTTGGCGTGAGCGCGCCCTCTCCTTCCTCGCAGTTCCTGGCACAGCTGATGCTCTTCCTTATTGGCATCGTCAGCTCCATCTTCTGTGGGCACCTGGGCAAAGCGGAGCTGGACGCCGTCATGCTGGCTGTCTCGGTACGTACCTGGGCCGGGCACGCGAATCGCACCGTGTCTTAGCGCGTCCTCACGCGTCTGCCTTTGCAGGGTCTGGGCCTGGCGTTTACCTGGTCTTCAGATCTGCAAGTGCAGCGATGGGTGTCCAGAAATGAGTGTGCTGGGCGTTCGGAACCCCTCTGAGCAGAGCGTCAGGGCTTGCAAGGAGTCCAGCAGGGTTACTCCGTATCTACTGAGCAGAAAGAAGGGCATTTTTCTCTGTTAAGAAATGTGACCTCCAGACTCAGGTCACTGAGGTCTCTGCCCCTAGCAGAATTCCGCAGCTCACTATCAATAGGGTCAAACTAGTTCCCTTCTGCAGGAAAGTGGCCCATGGCCCCAGGCCCGTGGGCCGTGGGTGGAAATGACACCTCCTTTGAATTCAGTCTGGTGAACACTGGCTGTCCCAGCTTCCCCTGACCGCTGTGTGGAACCTCCCAGGGATGTCCCCTGGTGCCGTCTGCAAGGTCCAGGTTCAGGTCCTCTTCCTCTCCTGGCTTCCCAACTGGGACGCCCCATGGGTCCTTCCCGGGAGGCTGATCTGGGCTGAGACCACTCTTGCGGGGATGACACCTCATGGCAGCTACCCAGCTGGGTCAGGGAAGACCTGGGCACCTTCCGGTTCCACTTCTCCCTGTCTGCTTTTGTCTTTGGGGTGTGGGTTTTCCCTCCCTCCATCCCAGGATGGCCTCTAGATCTAGTTCTGACCGCACCCTGCAGGTTGCCACCGCTCCGCGGGACACACAGTAGGTGTTTGGTGTTTGTGTTTTAAGTTCATTTATTTACTTCTTCCATGAGCGAGAGAGTAGCACCCTCTTCCCCCCGGCCCAGCCACCCTGATCTCGGGCACACCCGGGCTCCAAGTGCCCAGGGAGCTCTTCGGATGTGAATCTGGAATCTTCCATGTGAGGCAGCCTGACCCAGCCTGTGCCTTATTGCTCCATCACCATCCTCCCCCCCCAGGGTGGAAATTTCAAACTCTGTTTTCAGTGTCTCTTCTCACCCCTTTGTCTCTAAAGCCCTGGAAGTCTGCATGCTCGTCCTCCCTGCCCTCCGACCTCATGGAGTTGGCTAGGTCATGGTCCCTTAATCCCGGGCCAAGCAGTCACGTAGCACCTGACCTCTCACCTCCCCTCCACCTGCCACTGCAGACCTGTTCCTCGCCAGCACTGGCCTTCCACCTGTGTTCTGGAACCTTCTTTAGCCCTTTCACCCTTCAGTGTTCTACTCCACCACGATAAACCCACCCAACCCAGTCTCTCCTCTCCTGTAAGATCAACACCCGCCGCCCCTCCCCTCCTCACCCAGCTCCTCCTGCAGCTCTGCTAGCGTGCTCCGCTGCCTGTCCTGCCTCTCCTGCTGTCTCTCCCACCTCGTGCCCTGCCCTGCCCTGTTCTAAATGTTCCCTGTTCGTCGGTGTCTGCGTCCTTGACCTGGCTTCCAGCTCCTGTGGCTGACTGCGGGATGAACCATCTGGAATATGCCAGGGACTGCTCCAAACTCAGAGTTCAAAGCCACTGCCTGGGGGTCACCTAGGTGCCCTACCTTGTCCCAGGACATCTTCATCCGCCAGCCAGGCCTCAGGGGCGTTTCCCACTTCCTTGAAATCACTCCTCTTGTTTCTCTCTGACTCCCTTGGTCGGACTTCATCCTGCAGCCCCCTCTCCCCCAGCTCCACTTCCATCCTGCCCCTTCCCCTCCCCTGTGCCCTGGCAGCTGTGCCCACTGTCCTGGTCCTGGCTGTGCTGTGTCTCTGTGCTTCTCTGTCCCAGTGCACAAGCTTACATAGGTCGTCTGCCATCTCTGCATAGTCTGCGTTAGGGTGCAAGTGTGGGGGGAGGGGGTGAGTGGGACCGTGAGAAGTCACCCCCTGAGGGGATGGCCATGCCACAGTCCCTTCTCCCCATTCTTCTCTCGGGATTTTCGGTGTGCACACATGCACCTGGCATGATTTTCAGGCCCCAGGACAGGGATTCTGACCACGCTGTGGGCCATGTGGGATCCAGTATAGTCTGCGTTAGGGTGCAAGTGTGGGGGGAGGGGGTGAGTGGGACCGTGAGAAGTCACCCCCTGAGGGGATGGCCATGCCACAGTCCCTTCTCCCCATTCTTCTCTCGGGATTTTCGGTGTGCACACATGCACCTGGCATGATTTTCAGGCCCCAGGACAGGGATTCTGACCACGCTGTGGGCCATGTGGGATCCAGTTGCTTTAACCTCCACGCCACCTGCTGGCCCTATTCATTTTTGCTGAGCTAGGTTCTTGGCAGAAAGCGGGCCTAGCCGAGCAGTGAGAGCACGCACAGCTCAGGAGCACTGCCCAGACCCCAGCCAACGCTCCCGACTGCCTCCTTGCCTCGCCCTCACCCCCTTCTGCATTTCCATTCTGCAGCCTGGTAAGCGTATGAAACATTATGGGCATGCGTGTGCTCGAGTGCGAGGACTGGCGTGGGCCTACTAGGCTGAACACGTTTCTCCGAGTGGGGAAGGCTGTGGATTAGAAATAGATGCAGTAACACACAGAGACACACGAGTATAGAAAAGCCAGGATCCGGGAGGCCCAGCTTCTCTGATGGAGAGGTTGCGACCCGAACGACCTCAGGTTTGTTCTTTTAAAGGGCAAGAGAATGGGGGAAGCGGAGATGGGATGCAAAGCCAGTTGTTCGGGGGTGTTAATCTGAAGATGAGAAAACACTGGCGCCGTGTAATTCCTCTGATCTTTTTGGGGGGAATCTGATAAACACCTGTGGCTTCCTTCAGCCTCATACTGCCCTGGGGTGTCAGCAAGAACAGGGAGATGGCCAGGACAACAGGCAGACAGCGCTTCCGTAGGTAAATGCTTCTCAATAGCCATGCTCGAGCAGCTCACGAGGCACATTTCTGCATGCATCTGAAGCTCCCCTTTTCTCAGCTTGCCCCTCTCTACCTACGACTGCTGTTTTCTTCATTATTTCATTAAAACTATTTAAAAGTATATCTTAGTGGGGAGGGCAGCAGGTGGCATAGTGGTTAAGGCACTGGACTCCCTCCCATAAGACTGACCATGGTTCGAGTCCTGGGCCTGCTGGCCTGAAGATCGCTCTGGGCCCATGGGTGCGTGTGTGGAATGGAGGAGAAGGAATTACGGTTTAGTCATCCCCCCGGGGGTATGATTTCTCATCTTCCCTCTCACCGTCTCTCTCTATCTCTCTTCAGCGAGCACACACACCCTGTGGCAAAAGTCTAAAAAGAAATATCTTGGGGGCAAAGTAGCTTAAGATATTGTATGTGGCTCTAGTTATTTCCTTCTTTCTTTCTCTCCGTTCTTCTTGTAAATCACCCAATCATAGAGCATAGAAAAGATTTCCTATTTCTCTTTTTATCTAATTATTTATCGTCATTTTCAAGTCACTGGCTCTGGGACTTGAACCATGGTTGGTCAGCAATGTAAAAATAACAGGAATAGGGGCCGGCAGGTGGCGTGGTGGTTAGGGGCGCTGGACATGGTTGACCACGGTTTGAATCCTGGACCTGGTGGCTTGCTTTTTTTTTTTTTTTTTAAAGAATTATCGATTTTGGTTTTTTTTATTCATTCATTTTTTATTTTAATTTGACCAGAGAAAGACACACACACACACACACACACACACACACACACACACAGAGAGAGAGAGAGAGAGAGAGAGAGAGGGAAAGTGAGAACCTGTGGCTTGCTTTTTCACTTTCCCTCTCTCTCTTCTCTCACTCTGTCCCTCTCTGGTCAAGTTAAAATAAATAAATAAAGTTAAATAATAAAAATAATTCTGAAAAAAAAAAAGCAAGAATGAGAACAGGAATAGAGTAATTACAAATCTAAAATGACACAGAATGGCCTGAAGCCAGTGTGGGGAAGTTCGTCTGCAGCTACAGTCTGCCCTCGGCCAAGGGGGCAATGACACTTCTATTGGCTGTTAAACTGTACCTAGCTGCTAGCAAGACTAAACTGTACCTAGCTGCTAGCAAGACAATAGACTCCATTTCCACTTCATTCACGAAAGCCAGATACACTTAAAAATCTGTTTGGAACCAGCGGATAGTGTGATGGTTAAGTTGCTAGACTCCCATGAAGTCAACCACGGTTCAAGTCCTGAACCTGGCAGCTTAAAACACACTGGGCATGTGCATGTGTGTGCCTAAAACCCCAAGAGAAGAATGGAGGAGAAGGGATTGCAGTGTGGCCATCCCCCCTGCAGGGTGATTTCTCCCTTTCTGTCTCTCTGTCTCTCCAGGGAGCACACACACCCTGTAGTAAAAATCTCTCTCTCAAAAAAATATATTTTTTTTGTTGTTTACCTTATTAAAAAAAACTCTCTATAGAATGAAAGGATTTCCAAACCTGGCCATGCTGCGGAATGTTCTTTCATCTAAAAGAACATTTACTTATACCCCGTGTTGTTCCACAAGGAATCTGAGTTAGTTTCCAAGATGCCTCTCCTGCAGAAGGATGACTACTAGCTGGTGGAGTTGGGTCAGACTCCTGGATGGAGCACGTCTCAGCCGCAGGAGGGCTGGCTCCGGCCACCTGCACGGTCTCCCCCAGGATCCCTCCTGCCCGGTTCTTAGATGGTTCACATTTCACCGTTTACTCAGCGAAGGAACCACCTCCATACTGAGGCACAGAGAACTTTCTCTTGTAAATTCTCATGCAGCAGATGCTTCAGTGTAGGAGACAGAGTTCAGGACAGGGTGCCCGGAGAGATACAGTAGCGATTCTTGAACCAGTTTTTATTACAGTGACCTCCCTTGTATGGGCGAGGGCTGGGGTCAGCTCAGTTTGCTGTAGGCTTGTGACAGTTGGAGCAGGGGTCAGGGACAGGTTGCGAGTCCAAGGCTGAGGCTCTGTGGCCCACTGACTTGACCCGGGGATCAACTGTGAGCTGTAGAGTTGGAGGGACATCCTAAGCCAACCCAAGTCCCTTTACAAAAACAAACAATCAAAAACAAAAACAAAAAAACTTCTCGTGTGCCTTTTTTTTTTTTTTTTTTTTTTTTTTTGCTGTAAGGTGTATATGTTTGCTGGAGAGACAGAGGGAAAGTGAGTAACCACCCCCTGGGGGGAGGGCCACGCTGCAGTCCCTTGTCCTCCATTCTCCTCCTGGATTTTTGGGCACACCCGACATGATTTTTCAAGCCACTGGGCCCAGGACTCGAACCACGGTAGGCCATGTAGGAGTCTAGCGCCTTAACCACCATGCTACCTGTTGGCCCTTGTGTGACTTTTTTCAAAACAGAAAACTTTTCAGGCATTGTTGTGCTTCCCCCTTCTCTTCCTGGAAGGCTGAGGTGTTTGGGGGCACGCGTCTGCTCAGGCGTGGAACTCGGCGTGGGTGTCGCACCCCACTCACTGCATCACGACCCCTGCGGCTCACTCAGACCCTTGGACACGGACGGTGGCCTGTTCCTCAACTCCTGGGCTGGGGTCTGTGGTTACCAGGCCAGAGTCTCAGTCAGCGAAGAAGGGCACACTCCGGGGCGAGCCCAGGGTGCAGCGCACCTCCTCTGCCGGCCCCCGCTCCCCCTGCCTCCCTCGTGGTCTTACAACAGCACCCTCGGGCCCTGCCCCTTACCTGCAGTGACTTCTGTACCCCCGTCATTTGGGCGTGGGTGAAGTCTAGTCCATCGAGAGACAAAAAGTAGTCCCATTCCTCACACTTCCCAGCTTCAGGTCTGGCCATCTCAGCGGCCTAGGTAAGGGGTGTTCACTTTCTGTGAACAACTTCTTGTGGTGACCCTAAAGTGGGAATAGTGATCCTCACGCCATGTGTTCATGGAGGGCTCAGGACAGCGCCTGGCACAGAGTCAGTGCTGGAAATGTTTGCTGTGTCACTGAACGTCCATCCTGGTGGCAGGCCAGGGCCTTAGCCTCAACTGCACACGTGTAGTTTCTGTATTTTTCTGCCAGAGGGTCTAAGAGAGACAGCACCCCAGTGGGCCCTGGTCATGCCACAATCCTTTTCCCTCCATTTCTCCAACTTGTTAGGTTCTGGGTCCAGGCTGGGATTTGAACTACCGTTGGCCGTGTAGGATCCTATTCCCTCTGTATAACACGTCACCTCTGTATTTCCGTGGCCCTCACTTTCTTTTTTAGGTTTATTTCCTATACAAGAGTGTGTGTGCGGTGCGCATGTGAGAGAAGGGTGGGGGAAGACAAGTACCTTCAACATGATCCCATCATGCTGTGCTCCCTGCCCCCCAGCCTTCAGCTCCTCGGGATTTGGGGCATCTGTGCACACGCCTGGTGGTTAGAGCCAGGAATCCAGACCTGTGGCCAGCCACGTGGCTTCCAGCACTGCAGGCCCACGTCCTACTGCCTGTGCTGTGGCAGCTGTTTATTCATGATAGATCCCACGTGCTCACATGTGAGAGAGAGAGAAGAGGGGTGGGAGGGAAAG